CCGCCCAGCCAGGCTCTCCACGCGGAAGAGCCTCTGATCTGCAAACCATTTTTGTGATAATCAATGAAATCTTTAAGTACCTGTGATTTTCAACGGAAATGCATGTTTCTCTTAGGAGAGGCCTGTGTGTGTGAAACAGGAAACACGTGAAGAATCGGAGCACCTGATAAAAAGGAGGGTTCAGGAAGTGTCTTATTTTTAGATGTGTCCTGAATCAAAGGCCTCTTGTTGAACCAATTGTTTGCTCCTGTTCCAGGACTTACGTTCTCCTTCCTCCTCCTCATCTAATAGTCTGTGGGGAGCTTTCCTCTCCTCAGCATGTTTTCTCTGTTACTCCCATAATCCCCAGTTCAATGTCTTAAACACCTTCTGGGGTGTGAGCTCCATGGGCAGGACCAGGGCCGTCCCATTTGTTAGCGCTTGGCAAGTGCTCCTGAGAAGATGACTCGCTGTCCCTGGAACTGGGGCTTTGTTCTGGTTTTCTAGTCCAACATCTCAGAGGCTGGCTTATGTTGGTCTGCTCCATTATTCGTTAACTCATTATTTTGGGTTTTCAAGGCTTTCTCTTGGAGTCAAAAGCCCTACATGTGAGCTCCAACTTGACCTATTAGCGTAGGACCCCAGTCTACTTCAGTTCTCTGAGGGTCAATGTTTTCATCTCAAAAAACAAGGTGAACATTTTCTTCACAAGATTTTATGAGAGTAAAATGCATACACACACACCAAAATTATATCTATAATACAGTATATTATACATAACACAGTGTATATATACAAATATATATACATATATATACATATATACTCTCTGTGATAGAATCTAGCACATCATAAATACTCAATAATGTAAGATTTTTTCTGTTTACAGCTCAAGTTAGTCATGCATGGAATTTCTTGGACACAGTAATAAGGGCTTGTCAACTATTTTAATAGTTTGAAAAGACTAAGAGAATTATTATATTATTTAAAATAGTATGAACTAAAATATTAAGTGCCCTTTGGAAATGTATCAACTTATATTCATCAGCAATCTTTCTTGATGCATACAGATCTTAATTAAAAACGGGAAGATGAACTACATGTATATATAACTTGGTACCTGGAAATTCAAAGCACTGAGTTTATGAGGTGTCTTTGGTTACCTGGAACTCCAGGAGGTCCTTAATTATCACAGACTCTGGTTGGGGCCTGGCTCTCAACTCTAGATCAGAATGCACCTACAGCATTTGGGGGACTGATAATGCTTGCTCCTGGAAACCTACAGTGTGCTTGGTAATAAAACGGAACCAGTAGGGGCTGGGGATTTAGCTCAGCGGCAAAGCGCCTGCCTAGCAAGCGCAAGGTCGTGAGTTCGGTTCCCGGTACCGGAGAAAAACCAAAACCAAAAAAAAAAAAAAAAAAAAAAAAAAAAAAAACAAACGGAACCAGTATTGCAACAATAACATCATCTAGCTCAACCAAGCCATAATAATTCTGACTAAAATTTATAGCAAGTGTGGATGTCTAGTTTACGTTAAAGGATTTTATTGCTAATTGCTAAATAGTATAAAATAAATGATTTTACCACAGGCTTTTATTATTAGATGGCCAGAATCTCACCATGACATGAAATGGCTATCCCGTTCTAAAGAAAATAGAGTTATATTTTAATAGTTTGTATTTATTACAAATAAAACTTTTCAAACTTGTTATGAAAACATAAAATCCTCAGCATTCTTGTATTTTACTATTAAGATGTTTCAAGAAATTATCAGCTAGCATACTTTGGGGATATAATTGAGAGATACAAGGTCAGAGAAGGGTAACTGCTTACCAGCCTTATAAATATGCTCTAAAATCCTAAGTGTTTCATCAGATTTCACCTATTTATGACTCAATTCATTTGCGACTACTTATGGGGGAGAGATAAAAGGGGAGAGAGAGAGAGAGCACGAAAATCTTCCTGTAATATCTCCTAAGTTTTTTAATATGTAGATAATTTTTATGTTGTATTTTCAGTCAAATTTCTCATTATCTTGATGTGGGAGGGCATTATTTGCTAAAAGAGTAATTACACTTTAAGCCATTGCAACTGTGAAATCCTGCACATTTTCTTAAACTACAGATGTCTTTCGACCTGCTCCCCGTATTTGTATCTTACTCTGTTGAAAACCTTGTAAAAACCTGCTTCAAGGGAGTCTGATGTACCACAAATGTCAATGTGTCGCTTGTGCCTGTTGGGCCTGTAAAGAGACTTATTCTTCTGACACCTGTCTACAAAGATGTGATACGTATTTTAATTTCCTTTCCTAATGTCACTTTTATAATGAGACTTCATATCCTAAAGTAAATTCTTAAAATGTTGTCTACTTATTTTAACCAAAAGTATCTATTCTATTTGTTTGCTTATAATATGTAAACTAAAGATGAAAAGTTGTAGATACATTTATCACTACTTGGACATTGAAAAATATGGAAGGAAGCTGTCAGTTTTCTTTCTAAGTGTACATTTAGTGAGTTACCTCAATAACAACAATATCTAGCATTTTATAACACTTTTTCCTGATACAAATGCCCTGTATGTCAAATAATACTTAATTTTGGCCTGGGGATTTAGCTCAGCAGCACAGCAAGCATGAGGTAATGAGTTCAGTTTCTGGTACAAAAAAAAAAAACAATATTTCATTTTGTTTCTACAGTAATCCTATTAAGTGGGTGGTACAAGTCCTGTCTTGCTTTACCAATGAGGAAACTGAGTCTCAAAGGGAGTTTAACTTGTTGGAATGTGTGACCTTTCCTGCCCAGGTTTTCACTTATATGTTTTCAAGGTTCATCCACATTATATATAGCATGTATTAGTACATCATTGCTTATATGAATGATAAATTCCATTTTATTACCTATTGATCACCATTTCTTTATCTATTGATGGATATTTGGATGGTTTCCACTTTGGGTTAGTCTCAACAAAATTTCTAAGGACATTCATATACAAGTATTTGTTTGAGTACCTGCTTTCAGTTTTTGTGAATATAAACCTAGGAGTGGAGCTGCACCCACGAGGTCCTCTATATGTTTTGTTTTTGTTAAAGTTAGTAGGCATAACAGTGGTCATATGATAATTCTGTTGAATTTTCTGAGGAACTACCAAAATGTTTTCCTCAGTAGCTATGCCCTTTAATGTCTCCACCAGAAGTACAGCAGAATTTTCATTTTGCACTTCCTCGCTCTCACCAATACTGATTCACTTCAGTCACACGTGTGTTTAGTCACAGTCGCCCTTGTGGCTGCACAGCTGTACCTCCCCGAGGTTACCTGACTCCCAAACAGCTCATGTTGACCCCTTTCCATGTACCTGTGGCTGTGTGTGTATCCTCCTTGGAGAAATGTCTGTTGAAGTTCTTTGCCAAGTTCTGGATTGTTTTGCTTCATACTTCATTTAAAAAAAAATAGATTATATTTTCTTCCCTCAAATTACACATTTGCATTATGGAAAATTCTACTTTCTGGCTGCTTAGCTATGTAATTGCATAGAGAATATATAGTTTTCACATTCTTGAGGTGCTTTTATGTTGCAAAAGTCTGTGTGTGTGTGTGTAATTTATTCTTACCTCTGGATAAAAATATAAATTTCCCGTGGGTGACAGAGTCCCAGAGGTGGAGTTGATGACCTAACACGTGAAGGTCTGAGCGCACTGGTCTGTCCTTCCCAGCTGCGGTGCTTCAGGCAGGGGAGGCAGGGCGCACGCAGACTTAAGACAGTGAGCTTCATGTAACGTAGGTCTCAGGAAGAAAAGGCATTACCTAGTTTTCTGCTTTGTGTCAGAGAATAATGTGACTCCTTGCGGTGAGGTGGGAGCGAAGGGCGGAAACCAGGCACACTTCCGTGCTGGCTATTGCAGGCCTTTGGCCAGAGGGGATTTTCTTGAGTCTGACTGTCTGAGAGAGTCTTCATGCTTTTTATGCTGTGTTTTGGGTAACTATTTCCTTTTTCACTGTCTTAGTACTAAGTATAGCTTTGTCTCGGGTGAGCTATGGACAAGGATATTATACCAATTTGGAGCAACAGTCTGACGGGGCATCCGGAAGCTCCTGGAGCTGAGCGGGGTCAGAGCTGCGGTAGAAACACAGATGAGAAGACCTAGCAGGCAGGAGGGGTTTCAGAGCCAGATTCCAGGGCGGTTTCCTCCAGGAGCCCTCCTGGACAGCCTCCAGAAATTTCTGTCTTTTTTGCAAATGTTACTGAACAGTATTTGAGATACTAATTTACAGACTTTTCTCTCCCCTTATCTCTCCCTTTCACTGCCCTCCTTTTAATCAAATCACTGGCCATGGTCTGTAATTTTAGAAAAATAAAGTAGCTGATCAGAAAGCAAAAATAGACTATGCATTATTTATTTTTATGTTCTAAAAGCCTAAATGTTTAGGAACCCTCCTTGGAAGAGTCTGGGTTTGAACAAAATGTTTGGGAAGAAAGAGCTGTCTTTTCACCTGTAGACTAGAAACAAGCTTGTCCTCGCCTGAAGTAGGGGTAGGGGGTGGCTGAGGAGGACACAGAGCACAGAGGTGTATGGAAGTGCAGCTCCTGTGCATGCGGAGACAGGAGGTGGCTGTACCCTGATTTCCAGTAGAGCTGGAGGCATGAGGCTGAGGAAGGGAATGGCTAGATGGGGTGTGCAAGGTGAACTAAAGTCCCTCAAAATGTTCACATCCTAATGCTTGTACCTGTGAGCATGGTACTTTGTAGGGAGCAGCTGAAGCTGGAAATTGGTCACTTGTGTGGGGGCAAGGCAAGGCCAGTCCAAGAATGAAGAGTGCCTAAAGCAATCAAACTGCTTCAGTCCTGAAACACCTTGCCTGAGACAATTCCAGTCATTAGTTGCTAGGCAACCCTGTGTCCTGTGATACTAACTTTGTCAAATGCATAAATAAACACCCTTATGGCGGTTGGAGCAGTTCCCTTCCTTCCATCTGGAGAGAGAGGGCTCCACCTGATCTCAGCTTCCCTCTCTTATTTTTAGTTCTTCATCCTTTCACTGTCTTTCCCTGGGAACACCAAGAGCTGTGCTCGTTCATGGCAGTACTTTGCACAGCAAAAGAGACTGCAGGTGTGAGCAAGTGAAGGACCTTGAGATGAAGAGTGTCCTGGAGTCCCTGGTTGGACCCAGTGTGACCCTGAGGCCTCTTGTAGGAGAAGGTAGAGCAAAGTGAGTGGAAGGTGAAACAGAGCTCCAAAGAGGGAAGAAAAGGCCACAAGCCAAGGAATGCAAGTGGCCACTAGTTGGTGGCAGAAGCAAGAAAAGAATTCTCTAGAGGCTGCAGAAGGAATGAGCTCTGTTGACACCTGATTTCAGCCCATAAGACTCATTTAGGACTTCTGATCTCTAGGACTGTAAGATAGTGTCTTTATGGCTTTTATGCTGCGTGTTTGTGGCATGAGGGCAGTAATGCAGCCAGCAGAGGCAGGGAAGACCACAGGAGGCTGAGCAGTGGGGCTCCTCTGACCCAGATGGAGACCAGCAGCACCAGGAAGCCAGCAGAGCCCTGAGGCAATGCAGCCAGGCACAGGGAGGCACTAGTGACTGAGGACCCCTGGGCTCACATGCTCAGTGCTCTCTATGACAGGAACAGTTCACTTTCCTGTGACCGGGCCAGGTGAGGATGGAAGCTCCTTCCAAGTGAGGTGATATCTCTGTCCTCCAGGCTAAATGGCTACTTGTAATATAAATAAAGAAAATGATCATTCTTGTACATTGATCTTGGGAGCTGAAATTCCTACTCTACATAACAATGCTTTCATTTCAGTTGGAGTGGAGGACACACACTGTTTGCCACATGCTCTGTGCATGCTTATTGTAACTCATCTTCACAAGCCAATAAAGCAAGAACTCCTCCTCATCAATGTAATTTGTTCCTAAAAGTGTGCCCAGTGGTGGATTTTTGGAATGAGAACAACTATCTTTCATTATTGTACATAAAAAATTATAATGGATTCCAGGCTCATCCAAAAATTGCAATCAATTTGCTCCAAATACCACTGAACAGTTTAAATATCTCTGTAACAGTCCACTAAGGATCTCTGCATCATATAAAGCGCTAAGAAGACCAGTCATCTAATTATTAAACACATCAGTGGGTTATTTTGTGCTTGAAACACAATACTATGCAGTATTATATACCAATTACAGTTTCCTTTTATACTGAAATGAACTGTAATGAAAATGAACAACATGTGTGTATGTCACAGATACAATAAATGCCAAGAACTCGCAGTGTGGTCCTCCTGGGAGAATGGCTGCAGTCTTACAGTGTGCTTGCAACAGAGCCTAGCCCTGCCTCAGTTGTGCATCATAAGCTTTTTCTCTGTTGTGACTGTGAGAATGTCTTAAAACCTGGGTGATGATGTAACTTCTGGTCGAGCTGGGGTAGTGGAAGATAAGCTATTTATAATTATGTTGGGATAGCTGACATCAATTGTGGGGGCAAAGGTGGACATATGGTTATTTCAACTTAAAGCAGCTCTGCAAATTGGAGAATGAATTTTGGATAAAATTTTTTCAGCTTTTCTGGCAAATATTTGAAGAGTGAATATTCAGTACTTCCTGTTTTTCAGACAAGAGAAATCATGACTCAAGGAGAATATACACTTGCCCGAGGTCATGGGTACTTTCACAGTAGAGTGGGAACTCAGACTCAGGTTGGTGTGCTGCACTCTGTGGCTTTAAGAGTGATGCCAATGACTTTGGACTTGCACATCTTTTGTGAGACTCCAGAGAAACGGTTTTCACCTCACGGTCCAGGTGCAGAGGCATAGACAATCCCTCTTTCCAGCCCCTTGACTGCCACTGGGGCTGATGCTCAAGGGCCAACTTAGTCAGTCATGCTTCTTGAGGGCCTGGGTGTACACTGGGGCAGCGAGGGAGATGAACAAGTCCTGGGCCTATTTCTGAGGCCAGTAGAAAGGAAGTTGCAAATGGCAGGCCTCACTTGAACCTTGTGGAGCAGTGGTCAGTCACAGCTGTTGGCTCTTCCAGGCTGTGTTTCTGCTGCAGTGAATGGTACCTTGCCAGCCAGAGCTAGGCCCCAGCAAATGACCACAGCCCACCGCAGATGAGGAGGAGTTCAACTGGTATTTACTGCATTTTGCTTGTAACCACAATACTTTCTGTGTCTCTTTATTAGCTACCTTGGGCTGCTGTAACAAAGTATTACCAGTGAGGTGGCTTTAAAACAATAGAAATTTGTTTTCTACCGTTTAGGGGCCTAGCAACCTGAAACTAAGCAGTCAGTAAGGTTATACTCCTTCCAAAAATTCTGGGGGAATAGCAAAGGTAATCTTGGGCAACAAGAGCAAAGCAGGAAGCATTGTAACCTTGGGCTTTTGAGTTTTATTACAAAGCTACAGTGCTAAAAACAGCATGGTACTGACTGGCATGAAAATAGACATGTGGATCAATGGAAGAGAACAAGGGATGCAGAAAAACAGCCCCAGGCACATTCAGCTGTCTGATTTTTTTTTTTTTCCATCCTTTTGAGACAGGGTCTCACTATGCAGTTCAGGCTGGCCTCGAACTCACAGCAATCCCCTTGCCTCAAGCTATGTGATCTTTGACAAAGGTGCCACCAACATTTGTTGGAGGGAAGATAGCCTCTATTAAACGGTACTGGGAAAACTGGCTATCAACATGCAGAAGATTGACTCTAGACCCATATCTCTCACCATGTACTAAACTAAACTAAAAATAGATCAAAGATCTAAATGCTAAAGAAGAAACAATCTGCTGGAAGATAAAATCGGTAAAACTTTTTCAAGAGGTACAGTCATAGGTACAGTATAGGCACAGATTTTCTGAACAAAACCTTAGTTGTGCAAGAAATAACACCAAGAATCAACAAATAGGATCATATCAATTTAAAAAGCTTCTCCACAGCAAAAAAAAAAAAAACAACCAACAAAATAGAGATAACCTACAGAATGGAAAAATAATTTCCTAGCTATTCACCAGACAGGGAATTAAAATCTAGAATATGTAAAGAACTAAAAAAAAATTAGACTTCCTCAAATAAAAGACCCAGTCAAAAAGTGGGCAACTGAAATGAACAGCTGCTTCTCAGAAGAAGTACAAATGACCAATAAATACATGAAAAAAATGTTCAGCATCTCTGGTCATTAGAGAAATGCAAATTAAAACAAAATCAAAATTTCATCTTACTCCAGAAAAATGGCCATCATCAAGAAATCAAACAATAACAAATGCTGGAGAGGCTATAGGGAAAAAAAACCAAACTCTTCTGTACTGTTGGTGGGAATATGAACTTGTACAACCACTATGGAAGTTAGTATGGAGATTCCTCAAAAAACTAAAAATAGAAATTTCATTTAACCCAGGTATGGTAGGTATAGTACGTATCTTCCCAAAAGAGTTAAAGACATCGTATTGTAGTGATATATACATGCTCATGTTTATAGTAACCACATAATTCATAAATGAATCTTGGAAGCATGTCTATCAACAGATAGGTGGATAAAGGAGGTGTGGTATTTATACCACACTTTATACTGTGATTGTGCTGTAAAGGAGAAACAGGTCATTTTTAGGAAAATAGATATAGTTTGTGACCATAATGTTAAGTGAGGTAAGTTAAATCAGACATACTAGGTTAAATATCACACAGTTTCTCTTATATAAGAAACCCAAAATATAAATAAAAAACAAAATAAAAAGCAGATAATAGGAAATAGGGAGATAGATCTTTTGTCTAAAGGAAAGGGGACCAAGATGAAGAGATGGAGAGAGGAGATAGGGTGCGGAGAGATGGGGTGAAAGGAGAACAGAATGTGTTATGCACAAGTACCAACTGCCCGCAAGGTATGAGATCATTATATACCACAAACATGTGCTAAAAGCGTTCTGGGGAAGGATTCTTCCTGGTCTCTTCCAGCTTTAGTGATCCTCAATCTCTTCCTCCTTCTTCTGGCTTTCCTCCGTGTGTGTGTGTGTGTGTGTGTGTGTGTGTGTGTGTGTATGGTCTCCTTGTAAGGACAGCAGTCACTGGATTAGAGTCTACCTGTTCCAGTGTATCCCCAGTTTGAATAAGAACATCAGCAAGGCGCCTCTTTCCAAAAAAGATTACATTCCAGGGTTCCAAGCACACATGAATTTTGTGGGGACAGTATTCAATCCAGCACATTTCCCTTTTACTTCTTACTAACTCACCACTTCTGGGCTTTTTCCAAGCATGATCAGGACTCAAACATCTCCAGAATAACCACATTGGGAGAGACGTGGGTGTCATGTCTGCTAGTACGAAGTCAGACAAAGCGCTGGGCCACAGACCTGAGCTGAAATTGTGTTAACATGGCTCTTTTTATGGCACAGGAGGCAAGTCCATTTATGGTGGATTTTATGGTGAATATGGGCTAAGGGGTGGGAGGTGCTAATGGAAAACTGGAAGTGCTGATACTTCAGGTTCACGTCTGGCCATCACCACTCTCAGGAGAGGCCTTTGGAAAGGCGAAGAAATTCTTCTCCATTGCTATTTTATTTTTTTAAATCAACCTTTAAACAAATAGGGTAAATGGAATATGTAAGACTGGGACAATTTCATTTCTCAAGCTAAGGAATTTGAAAGATTCTCTCTTTAGATTTTCTTCTTAAATTGTTTATGTCAGATCCTGAATTGTGGAATCTTGTCTTAACTTTTACTTTTTTAAAAAACATGATATAATCTTGTTATTTTAAAAAGCCACATCTTTGTTAATACCACACACATGCAAATAACTATTAAACTGACAGAAGTGTTAATTAGCTTCTCTGTGGTAATCATTTCACAATGCATACATATAACAAACCATGGCTTATACATCTTAAATCTATACTGTTTTTACTTGTCAATTGTATCTCAAAAAACTGGGTGAAAGCTGCCCTACATCTAGCATGGAATGCATACCTTGTATATTATTTAGTTGTGATTTGCTGAAGGAATCTGCCAGATATCTTTGTGCAATGCGCTTCCTGTACCGATGGAGCTGTGCTCACCTTGAGAACACCCTGCCCCATCCACCTCAGTGTCCCCTGTCTCATACTGACTGCCTGGCTCACAGATAGCCCTTAAACACAGGCTTGTTGAACAGGAAAACACTATACATGAGAAAGAGAGAAATTTCGCTTCCCCTGCTAATTGGATGTGCTAATA